TTGTACTGACCTTTCTTCGTGAGCGCGCGCGAGTAATCACGTTTGCAAAAAAATTTCGTGTGACTGACAGACAGGGGGACTTAGAATTTTGAAAAGGGCAATAATAAAGTAAATTTTTTTATTTGTTGAGCAATAGACTCGCTAGGCACTATACTTCATTTATAGTTTGTCTTACGATCTTGCTATAATGTATATCTCAAGCGTGCCTGATTACTTTATTCCTGGGTTGAAGAAACAGCATGCTCAAGAATCAATTAGACCAGACCAGTGGCTGTGAAACAGCTGATTCAGTTCGGTCAGTCTCCTTTGAGCACAGCAACCTCACTTGATTCAGCACGATAAATCTGAACTTCCGGTCCGACTTGCTAGGAGAGTGAAGACCCTTCAGAATCTTTCCCTTTATTGTAGGCACCAACGAATGATATAATCTGTATTGTAACCCATTCAATGTGATCTAGAATTTCCCTGAAATCAAAGATGAAGAAACGGATAGGAAATTTACGCAATTATTGAAGCGGACAGTCAATTTACACGCAGAAAATGTTCCAAATTAGCAGAGGTTAGACATACACGGAACCCTTTCTATGGCAATTAGATAGGTCGTATGATTGAGACAGACGTGATTGTGGTTTGACATTTATAGAAGTGAGATAGTGATCTTATAAACTTGGGACTCAACTATGCTTGACATCAGGGAGGGTTACTGCCTTTCTATACGTATTATCCACTCCTTACCGTTCTAACATGATCCTATATCATGTTATTATTCTTACCTTTATGTATTTCCAGGAGTGTAAGCGATCAAAAGATTTTTAGACGATCTAATTCGTCTTATCGCCGAACAACACATCGCCTTATATGACAGATTTGATCCAATCTTTATCGGCATAATTGACACTCGCACTCACCCTGGAAATTTGATCCGTACTAGAGCAGACTTTTGTTCAACATCTGCGTGAAGTGCATTATGGATCTTTTCCTGAAATACGTAAGATGGATACACGTTTTGCCTACGTGCCTGTACATTTGGAGTATATCGTTGCTGAAGTACTAAAGAATGCTTGCAGAGCTACGGTTGAGCTGAGCCAAAAGGTCGACAGGAAGGATCATCCTGCAATTGAAGTTACTATATCGCGTGGGAAGAGTAATATTGGAATTAGAGTGAGAAATCAAGGGGGCGCCATCAATTCCTATACTACTGCCAAGCAAGAGAACTATTATTGGGGTCTGTTACCACTATGACCATGCAAGCTAGATTTGGTGGGCCGATCGCTGGACTCGTTTATGGGTAAGTTGTAATGAATATAAGAACGCTCATTCTATTATTAGCTTTGTAATAAAGCAGATTGATGAGATATTGGATGAAGTGGGGAGTTAACTAATAGAATGCCATGGAACAAACGGAAAGGAGCGAAAGCAACGGCATGAGTTCATTTGTATTCATTCGCTAGAATATAAGCTGTCACCAAAAGTCACTCTAACGAGAAAGAGAATACGAATATACTGTTTGTAATTTGTGAATACTGCAGAGCAATCCAGTTGATATACCGGTTTACGCTGGTTAAAGAAACAAACACCCGATAAATTGTTTAGCCATTTGTGAACTCATTGCTTATATCCAAATACGAAAACTTCAAACTTTATTGAACGGCAGTCACTATTACATTATAAGTACGGCTTGGAATATTCGTGTCCAATCTTCAAAAACGTCATCTGTCATTAAGTAGAAAGTAATAAAAAGATATTAATACGTCTATCTGTTAAACAGTAACCCAGTTTCGGCTTTCTTTTCTTAGTCAGATAGGTACTGGCATATGCTCCTCAGCAGGAAGCAAGATCTTTCGAATTTCACCATGGTCGATAAGATGGGGAAAGAATTCAAAATCCTCATTCAAGTTTCTATTATCTAGTAAAAGATTGAAGACAGACTCACCTTGAAGTTTTGCGTTGTTTGCTAGAAACGCATAATGGAGAGAAAAAGATGCAATTCCGAGATATCGTGAAAAAAAAAATTTTTTTTTTGTTGATTTGTTTTACGTCACCTTGATTATCAAATCGCCGATCGTAATAGTATAATTTGACATTGTGAAACCATACTATTTTATCCATTTATTATTATTATTATTATTATTATTATTATTATTATTATTATTATTATGTATAATTTAATTAAATCGTGTCGAAGAAACCACGGATTGTATTATAATAAATGGAGAGAGCTTCAGGAAAAAGGAAATATCAAAATCGAGTGGAAATACAGTATATTTGTAATTACGTTGATTTTGGTGCAGCACAGACCTATTTATGCAAGTTATAAGCAACTTGGATAAGGACAATGATAACATTAGCCATATCATGTGATGATGTCTGAAACTAGCCAAATTTCTCGAACGAGAAATTATTAATCGCTGCGCATATCTGAAGAAATTAAAGGGAAACTACTTGCCTCGTTTAATAAAGTGTATGAACATTTCATTCGGAATAACGAGTTCAAGCAGCTTTGAAATTTATGACGGCAAAACTCTTAGTATTATTTGCGAAGATAGACTTAAATAACAATCACAGTAATGAATCACTACGGCGTCACGTAAATTATTCCTCAATTTGAATTTCATACACGGTAACCCTGATAATCAGAAGACGTATTCGGTTGTTATTGTGCGCCACTTGTAATGGAAATGGAAATGTAACCCTTAGTCTGCAGTGAATGTTATTGTATAATTATCTCTATTTATTGCCTACAAAGAAAAGCATTATTACTTATTCTACATCATTTTCAATACAGTCCCTGAAATAAGTATCGGACCCCCTCTTAATCGAAATAGCCCAATAATCCACATAATAGCGATTAAAGTAAATCAGGCCTGGCGGCCTTGCCAAATTGAGGAAGGACCAAATGGTCGCCGAGTATCGCACGGACCAGATAATTCGCTGGGAATTCACCTTTTGCGAAAAAGTGGCTTATGCGATCTGGCAGGCGTTTATTAAGCCGTTAATTAGCAACTTAAATTTACCGCGATTCACTAAACTTCCGGACTAACACGGCGTCATTTAGACCAAGTAAATCTTGTCATTAAGTAAGAAACAAAATGCATAGGCGATAATCCAGCGTTCTGATGTTTTAATAAAGAAATAACGAAGACAATACGATGGACAAAGACTTCATTACTATAAAGAATCGATAGTTTCTCCGCTTGTCTCTATTACTATCAGGAAGTTAAGCTGCATAGATTTACTTGAATTTGATGCTGAAATAAAATAGACTGAGTTTGCCATTGAGAATTCCAGAAGTAAACTACATGAACCGGACAAAAATATCTGACCAAGCTTTTTTTTTTTTTATTTTCTCCTATTTGAAAAGCTATTAATTACGTCCCCGGCAAAAATAATGACGGACGATTTTTTGCTTGCATCGCATTGTGTACTTTTTGACTCTGACTCTTAGTTAATTACTGAAGTTACGAATTTATTTTTCGTCGGTTCCCAGCATATAAGACTATTTTGCCCTTTGGATTTACTCCAAAGGCGACCTCTTACAATGGCCCAGATATTCTCGATCGGATTAAGATCCGGGCTGTAGGAAGACCAGGAGATAACGCGCCGCGGAAGCTGAATTTTAAATCACTTTGAACGTCATGGGAAATGTGTTTTGGGTCATTATCTTGCTGATACGATACAATAACAAGTGACGATCTAATTTCTCCCTAAATATATGGCTCAACTTTTCCTTAATGTTGATTGCAGCCCAAATGTGAGCTTCGAAAGGATGTTTTACCATAGGTTTGACCGGCTTTTTTTCCACTCGACCATACGCGGATAGTATTGCAAAACATTTAAATAGTTGTTTCATCGGAAAAGACACTTTATTCCAATTATAATTCAAATGCTTACGTGCCAGTTTAAGTGGTTTTCTTTCGCTTGTTGGGTTAAAATAGGAACCCTCTGCGGAAGACCCCGAAGCAAATCCCAGTCTTGAGGTCGCAACAAACAGTCACTTCCAACCTTGAATACATTTTGTCTTCAATTCTTTAGCTTTGTAAAGTGATCATGCTTATAATGATTATTTCGATTTGGCGACGTTTTTTAGAAGACAATTTTCGCGGGCGGCCAGGTCGATGAATAGAATTTGCCATTTTTCGTAAAAGGAAACATATCGTTTACAGGAACGCAGCATAGATTCGATTCAAATGGGATAACAAGCGAGATCACTCCGTTGTCACATTGATTTGACTTTTTTTAATTGTTAAATTAAATTTAGACAACGCAGTATAATTATTTGTTGTACACAGATCTTCCATAAACCTCAATACATACGAGAAACAAAAAAACCAAGGTTGAATCAGCATTTGTTTACCGACCATGACTGTCTATTTTTAACTTTTGCATACTCCTATGTAATTAGAAATTGTTTGAAATTGTTTGATTCCCTCGCTTCCACAGCTATATAAAGCAACTCCTTGCGCAATTCCGATAAACGATATTATTTTGTTCCCATTCATATAAGAACTAAGCTCGATAAACCGATATACCAATAGCAAAGTTTCGTTTGTGACAAAAACTCTCTTTGTTACTGAGTATGAGCATTTCTGATGATGATATTATTGCAACAAACGATAAAGGAGACAAAAATATAGTAATAAGATATGCGACTAACGTGAACAAGCGAATAGAACAAACCCATATAAAATTCAATTCGTTATTTTAAACAATGTACTCAATCTTTCTTACATATTCAAATAATCTTAATAAAAACTTCTAGTTTCTGTTTAAAATCGTATTTAATTAAAGCCTTTGAATAAAACTCGCGTAAGACTGTATAATTCAAAATTTTTGAGTCACTAAATTATAAGACAATGAACGAGGTTAATATTGCAAATTAATTTTACTTCACGCAACTAATTGCTGTCGTCATACCTGCAACTGAGTCAAAATCATAACTGTTTCTCAGTTTGGGCAAATCTCCAGTAGGTAAGAGCTTACTAGAGTATTTACTTTCCTTTTCGAGACGTGATAAGGGTTTTACATCATTACGATAAACGGCATACCACGCGTTGTTATCGTCCACCTCATTCCTAAGCTTGTAAATATCATCCCAAAGTGTTTTTGCATCTGGACGCTTATCAGGATCAGCATCACAAGACCGCTCGGCAAGTTTCTTGTATTCCTCTGGTGCGGAATCAGGCATCGATGGTCGTAGTCCGCCCATAATATCGCATACTAAATCTCTATCGAACTGCCTATCTCTAAAAGGTGGTTCACCAGTAGCAATCAAATACATAATGATACCAAAAGAATACACATCTGATTTCTGAGTAAATTTGCAGGTATGGAAGACTTCCGGTGCAATAAAGGGTAAAACGCCTCGAATGGTTGAATTTGACTGACGTGAATTCACTAATCGTGAGAGACCAAGATCGCATATGAATGGTATAGATGTATATGCATTATCATTCAAAACTATGTTTCCGCCATGAAGATCACAATGCACTAATCCCACACTATGAATATTGCTCAGATACCTTGCAATATACAGCAAATGCTCTAATTTCATCTTCCACGTCAATTCGTTAATATTTTGATCCAAATAAGACAAAAGACTGCCATTGTTAGCATATTGCATAACAATCATGTACTCTTTTGTTCCTGGATCTTGTGTCACTCCATAAATACTAAGGAAACCACTATTCGCACACTTGGCATGATTTCTGAACTATTAAATAAAAACAAATACAGAGTCAGATTAAATATACTAATACTTTAATTAATAACATCAACAATTGCTTACCTCGGAAATAAATAATTCCGGCGTTTCATCAAAACTCTTAATATTAAACCGTTTGAGTACAACAGTTTGTGGCATATCAAATACTCCCGAATACTTTTTATATTTGGCAGTCCCTTTATACTTGGCAGTATAAACTGTTCCATAACCACCAGAACCGATCTCTTTGAGTTCGTAAAAGCCACTATATTGCATGTACTTTACGTTTCCGTCAAGTCGTATAAACCTGTTCAATATTGCATGTACGTCGTAGTAGAAAACTAAATAATATTCCCGAGTAGATGGCTCCCGAGTGATCCCAATTATCCAAATATTCTCGGGGGTTAATATCTCTGGATATTCCTTGGTTAGCTATTTGAGTAAACAAGCACAGTCGTTACAACAATAATCTGCTTGATACGCACGTTAATAACACTATTTGCATTTTACACGTAAAATAATTTACCTGATGAAAATCAAA